CTTGCTTTGTCACTTTCCTTTTTCTCTCTCTCTGGCCAAATTAAAACAATGATAATAAAAATGACAAATAAAATTAAATATATAAATAATTAAAAACAAACAATTGGGGACCAGCAGTTGATGTAATGGCTATAATTTCCATCTCAGTCACTCTCTTAACTATATCCTTAACTTCTTCTTTTTCTTCATTTTTTTTTCCTCCAAAAAGCATGTGCAGTAGGGAAGGAGATAGAAAGAGAAAGCACCCCAATATGGGGCCTGGTCATGCCAAAATCATTTTTCCTCTTATTCTCCATCCCATCAGAATTCTGAGTGTGCACTGCTGGGGCCAGGACTCAAACCCTGATAGGTTATGTGACATCCAGCTTCCTCTGTGCAATGCCTAATCTCTGTACCATGAGGCCAGTCATCTTCCTTTGCATTCTACTCCACTTCCAAATAACCCTAGACCTGGATTAACATTATTGCCTTTCAAAATTTACTGGAAATGACTAATGATTAACCTTACAAATTGTTGCAATTATAAATCTCAATGCCAACTTTAGCTTGATTCTCAATACACTCTAGCAATTTTTCTGTTTCTTTCAAGTCAGTTTTCTTCCATTTTCCACAAACAACTACTCAAAATTTTAACTACTCTTGTCAGAGATCAGTCATTAGGAGTATTAAATACATCAATGCCTCCTACCTTAATTTTGACCAATGAACTCTCTTTCTAAATCACAGGAAAAAAAAAAGAGTGCACCTTTACCAGTCCTACCTTTTTTCTTTCCTGTTATTCAAAAGAAATGTCCTACCTACTTGTATAAGATGAATAATTTATTGTCTTAGGGTAGGGAAATACCTCTGTAATCAAGCTTCTAACTTATTGAATCTCTTTTTCCCAAGGTCTCATTGCTTCCAAATCCAAAGACTACATTTTAGCTCTTATCACATTTGTGTTCTGGACATCTGTCATTACAGAAAATGGCTCAAATTTGCAAACCTTCCAACTACCATTTACTGAAAATTTAATGTGCTATTTTACAAATATTGCTTCATTTAACCCTCACAATGATTCTATCTTATTAATAAGAAAATGGAAGTAAAGATAATTGCCAAGATATGCACAGAGGGCAAGAACTGCTTTTCAGAATTCGAACTGCCTCCAAAATCCATTCTTGGAATGACAATATTTTCAGACCTGTATAGCAAGCACACTGCCTATTACCCAGTCCCACCAGATTGTTACATAGGAACATAAAAATCTCCAAATATAAAACTAAATTTATGTTAAGGGGGCCAGACCTGACATGGGTGGCCATGGTTCAATTCCTAACCATGGTGATTTGCAAAACACAACAGGCTTTCTTCCTCTCTCTGTCTGCCTCTGGTAAGCAGGTGAGCCCTCTGGCAACTATTAATTAAAAAGAAAAGAAAAAAAGATAGAATAACATCATGCATTGTACAGTGTAATGGTAGGTGATGTTAAGTGTATTTTTATATTTTTCTATTAGATTACAATGTGAAACATATTTCTTACTTTGGGTTGCAACAACAATAAAATTCGCTTAAAATCCTTCTGCTATTTTCTTTCAGTTAGCCTTCTGTGAAAGCCATGGAAGTTTGCAATTCTAATTTCTTTCTATAGCAATATTACTGGGCTGCGAGAAATGCAGGTAGCTGACAGCCTCTAGCAGCATTGTTTTTGATATCTATTAAAGTCTTTGAGCCAAGACCATGTTCTTCCCAGGCAGCCTCCTGCCTGGCAGATACCAGTACATGACCATCTCGTTCTTCTGCAGGATTCCTCTGATGAACCACCCCAAATCTTATTATTATGTTGACTAAGATTTATCAAATCTGTATTGCAATCTAAACTCCCCTTGCCCAGTTTAGTTTCCTACCTTTCCTTCTACAAATGTCATATCTACATCAGCATCTGAAATGTATAAGATCCAGTTCTTCTTCCTTTCCTTTAATCATTCACAGGACTTAACTCCTAGTAAACCTCTTGTGCTCCTGTTTTACTAATAGGTTTCCTAGAAAATATAAACTGATATAGCTTCATAAACCTTATCACAATTTGTAATATGTTTATATGATTGTGGTAGTACATTGTCTCCATCACACAGTAACCTCCTTGGCAGACTTTTTCACTGAATGGTACACCTCTCACAAAACCTGAATAAACTGTTGACTGTTTCTTCCCTCTCTAGGCTCATATAGGGCAGAACTTGTTGAACAGTTGTACCTTACCTAAGGGCTTTCAATTAAAACAGTAAGAAGTGGTTGAAATACTGATTTAAGGCTACAGTTTCCAGGGCAAAATCTCTTAACTTGACATTTTAGAATGAATAATTCTTTGTAGTGGAGGGACTGTCCTATGCAGTCTATGATACTGGGTAGCATTCTTGTTCTCTATCTACTAGATGCCAGTGGTGTGGTAGGTAGGCAATTAGCTAGAAATGAAAAGAAAAATGGGATCTGCCTCACCTTCCCAGAGGCAGGAGTTGGGTGGGAAGAGGTATTCTCACAGAATGTCTGGTTGAAATTATGATTGATGTAACAGATGTCCTTCTGCTATTAGGGCTGCCTGCTCATTTCTAGCTAACTGCCCACCTGGTGGCATCCTTCTTAATTGTGACAATCAGAAATGTCTCCAGTCATTGTTAACTGTCCCTGGGAGATAGGGAGGAGGAGTGGAGGGCAGAACTGACTAATTGTGAACCATCGGCCTTGAACACATTTTTTCTAATTCCTCTGAAAGTGCCATATGGTCAGTTAGTCCTGCTAGGACTTACCATGATCCTGAAAATATTTCTTCAGTATTAGCAGTCCTAGATACCTTGGCAGCAACTCTCACAAAGTGTGAGGCTTCCAGTCTCTTCCTCCTGTGTCTGTTCCTTGGACCTCTGCATGGATTTGCATATGTTCCTATCAGTTATAGGTCTAGGACATGACAGATTACCCCAGGGGCTGACTGTGAACTAGAGAAAGTGCTCTCTTTCAGGCAGACAGAAAGTAGGGCTCACCTTGAGCAGCATGGTGATGCTTGAATGGCCAGATGAATAATGTTCCTTTACTTGTAGGCCTTTTCATTACACTTTACTATTCACAGACTGTTTTATCCAGTTTTGCTTGGAAAATTAGTAGTCATTCATATGTAAATTCCTG